AATAAATAAACAGAAGGCAGGTGAATTTCAAGCTTCAAGCTCCAAGCTCCCATCCTCCAACTGGCTAATCACTCATATAAATAAAGCCCCCAACAAAGGCGCACCTGCAACTGCCACAACGGCTGCGTTTGCTGCAAGAACGACAGCCAGGATATTCGCACAGGATCTGGCCCTGGCTCCGGATAACCCAGTTAACCCTTCTCGCTGCCGTTTGGCATATGTAAATTATGACAGTGCCAAGTCAGGCACTTAACTCGAATCCGTCTGTGCGATATGTATGTGGGTGTTTCGGTTGCTGTTTCTGTGTGCACGGATGTCAGTGAGTCAGGCCGGAATATTTGTGCTCAGACCTCGCATCAACATCAACAGCATCAGGAGCATCAGCATCCCGAGCAGCAGGAGCAGATGCATCCTCGCCTGCTGATTACAAAAGTCAACTGGGTGAGTTCCCCCAGTCGCCCCTTTGGCAACCGCACTTTGCGAGTGTTTGCTGGCTGCACTCGAGTGAGCAAATACTTTATTAACACAGTTTTTTGGCCAACGAGTATGCAGAGAGAAAAATATGTAGTAAAATATAGGTTGGCTTCAAGCTAAAAATTAAATATCTCAGCCCTCAGCAGGGAAAAGGCTTTTTAAACACTTCAGTCAAAAACTGAAAAGAATTAAAGAGTACCGTACAAAATAAAGACGGGAATTTTTATTATTTTTAGGAAATTATGTTAATAAGATTTCAATTTCAAATTTGTATTGATTAATCCCTGATTTGCAAAAGCAAGTAAATAAATATTGAGAAATCTCTTATTGTTTAACAAACATTTTCCTTTTTAGCCGTATGACAAAACTTTGAACAACTTAATAGATACAATCCTTTACAATTCTAGTGCACGCTATCTAATGAACAACCTGCATTTGCGTTTCTAGTGTTCTTTGCTTTAGTTATAAGCCGAAACTTAAGCACTTTGAAATTTTGCTTTCAAGGCGGATGAGGGAATTATAATTGAAACAGAATGAGCTAATGATGGTATTGGGGAACATGAGACGAGCTCGAGGAGATTTCGATGGAAAGAGTCAACAGAATGAGGGCTCTCGACTGGAGTGTCCTTTGAGAAAATCCACCTCGTTCTTGGTCCTTTTCGATCTTCTGTCAACTGCAGCCGCTTATGTTTGTTTTCATCCCCACTTCCCCACCTCCTTGGGTGTTGTCAAATTTTTTGATTGCCATTCTTGTTTGCATGTGGGCCACGCCCCCTTTTGAGGAGTTCGTGTCATTTTGGGAGCGGATTGTTTGGCGTCGCTGGCAGTTAATAGCGTGGAATATCGCCTGACTCCGAATCGGATGTCTATCTATATATCAATCCCATCCATCCATCCATCTATCTATCTGTCTATCTATAGCGTTCGAGTTGCTGGCTCCTCCCCATTTGTCGGGTCATGTTGATTTCTGACATAATATTGACAGCTAAACAAATCCAATTATGCCCAACTCCTCTTTAATCCCTGTGTATCGAGTGTATCCTTGGTGCTGCTCATTCGAGCGCTTTAAACGTCCGACTTTCCAGGGCATTAACTGCTGACCAGAAGGACCTTCGGTTCCCCTTTCTTGCTTCTTCTGGTGGAGGTGTGCAATTGAATTATTGCACTCAATGCACAAATACCAACACCCTCGGTTGCAGCCATAAATATGAAATTTTCAGCACAACGCAGGAGGATGGCATCCTGCCGAATGCAACGCCTAAAAGCATGCAGCACCATTTGGCCACCAGCCTTATTCCCCGTCTCTTTCTCTTGGCCTCCATCCCTCTCTTTCCTGTATCCCAACTGTCCATCTCTTTCGCTCAGCCTCTGCCCAACTCTCGCTCTTGGCAGCTACCATTTTACCGTTTATTTTTGGGCATTGAATGCAAATATTGGCATAAATTTCGGGCATTTGCGGTCACAGCAGCAGCGGCAGAAAGAGACGGTTGGTGGGGTCTAGAAAGAGATAGAGAGAGAGAGAGAGAGAGAGAGACAGAGACAGACACATGTGGCTCTGCATTGTTTGCCTGTTTGACTGACTGACTGACGGATTCTCTCGGATTTTTGGTTATGGATTTGACTTTGCTGTACGCCAGTGTTTGTGTTTTGTGGCTGCAGCTCTGCTCAGTTGAGTGGAGTCGCTTCAGTAGAAATCAATTGGCTTTTTGCTACATTCTGTCCCCTCTTCTCGCCCAACTCCACTCTGCGGTCATATCTGTGCTGGGGCAACAAATTTAATAACATCTACATGGGTGCAACCTGCTGGTAGGACCTTTACAGGGAAAAAAGAATAATTCGATTTTAAATCACTTATAAAGGTAGCTGAAAGAATGCCCCAATATATTATGTTTCAAAAAACCATGTTTTGTTTTTTATTGCATACCTTAAAGATAGTTTTGTTTAACTTGATGTTGTTTGAAACCAAGGGGAGTAATGTGTCGTGGAAATCAAGCTGGTAATGCTCAGTGGCCAAGTTGTCACTCTGCCATCGTTTTTAATACGGCTTTTTCTCTCTGCAGGACTACTGGGCAGTCTACCGACTTTGGCTTGTCACTCGCATATGTTTGAGTGCGGCCAGGCCGGCAAACTTTAACTATTTGGTCGTCCAGGATGGTGGAGTGAATGGTGGGGGACATATCAAGTCCAAGTCCCAGGCCAAATCCTCCTGCTCCTCTTCCCGCCGCCTTATCCACACATGCGTGTGATTTATGTGCTTGTTTTTGGCTGCCTGCTGCCGGACATTTATCAAAAGGCGAGGACAAAACAAGCAAAACAAAGGAGCACACACAACAGAGAGAAAACTCACAGAACAGGACACAAAACAGCGGCGAAGAGACAGGACTCGGGAAGATTTTTCAGTTAAATTTACTTAGGCTCCTCGGTGGGTTTATTTAGTCAATGCTTAAATTCCACTCGGGAGCCTTTCAAATTCGATTCGATTTCGATCTGTGCTCGGTTCAAAGTTCAATTAAGCGCACATTTGCGGGCTGATTTCGATGTTCTCGTTAAGCCCTTCGACTGCCATTTGGGACAAACGAATAAATTTGCACACTCTCACCCTCACCCTCACCCTCACCCTCACCCTCACCCTCACCCTCACCCTCACCCAAACACACACCCACTCGGAGGCCTCGAAGTTTGTCTATCTGCGGGCCCTCCGAATCAATAAATTAAACGCCCTCGATATCCTTTAGCCTTTAAAGTTGCCCTCGCCGAAAACTTTTCACCGACCACCGACTGTTTTGTCTATTTCGAGGGAATCCTTTTTTCTGGGCCGTAAATTGTTGACGGAAATTGGCAAAAACATCAGAAAACTTTCGGCCCCCTAAAACTATGCTAATTTCCGACGTGTTCCATTGTCTAAGGTTGGTTTTCGGTTTCGGGGTCTCGTCCACGATTGGGAATTATAATTCCTGCCACAAACTGCAGGCGACTTCTCACACAAATCTTGTGGTGTGTGGTCTGAATTCCGGTTTGCCAGGTCCAGAAATATGTGAAATCCACAAGGATTCGATCAGACACTTTCATTACTTATAATTACAGCTAGGAACTTTGTTAGTTGTGTTTTTTGTTCTTTATGGAGCTCTCAGCGTTCAAGTAAGTAAATCAATTTCATTAAGACTTTTCCTTACAAAACAAGCCATGATTATAAAAAAAAATAACTATAGAGCTACATTTGTATTACACCTATCTGTTTATATGTTTGTATGCATCTTTTAAAAAATTAACAAATTTAAATAACAATAAATAGCACCTCCCCACTATTACCAAATTTTTGCATTACAAATATAAAAAGTTTATTCCCTAGACATTATAACTTTTTAATACCGCAATTCAACTTTCTCTTCTGGTTATTTAATTGCCTCTAGGCCATAATAAATCTCTATTATAAGTAACGTTTCAACGCCCCAAACCCTTTGTGTCTATTGTACACAATACGAAATTCCCCAGCTTATTATCTTCCCTCGGCTGATGTTGTTGTGGTAACTCGACTACTTACAACCCTTTGAGTTTGTAAAGCGTGGCATAAATTGTAAACTCAATTCGCGGACTCTGGCCTTGAACACATTTTAATTAGCTATCACGTCCGTGCCATGCCAACAGCTTAAGAGCCACCTGCTTTCCCCGGTGGAGGTCCTTCTCCTTCCCTTCTCCTTCTCCTTCCCTTCACCCAACATTTCTCGCCAGTTTTTCCTTTTTCCAGCTGGTTTTTGCCACTCTGTTGCCATGTTCTGCGATTCCAGTTAAACAGTCTCAAAGAGCGCCACAGATTTGTTCGTTTCGTTTCATTTCGTTCGCCGTTCCAGCCGTCATTTATAGAAAAGCTACTTAGACACGACTTTCAGCCAGGCCCTGGGAATCAGAAAGGGACAAAATCGGGGGGAGGGCTCCTGCTGGCAGGAGGACAACAATGCAAAGCAGGATGAAAGCCAGTCCGACTGATGTTTAGTTGCAAAACAATTAAGCTGAAAGCAAAGCTGTGTATTGAAGTGTGGCTGTGAAAGGAAGCGGGCCGAAAAAAGCTATATATATTATCGTGTATAGTATATACACAAGCGCTGGCTCGACTATTGACAAATGCAGGGAGAGACAGGACGAGAACCGAAAGGACGAAGGACATACACTGATGGATGAAGATGCTCTGACATTAGCATTAATAGAGCGACATTAATTCTGCGGCCAGGACGGCAACTTTAAGGCCCGACTGGCAATTATCCGGAACAGGAACCTCTATTAATTTTGCAGGCCCCTCTGCCCGGCCTTCCTTTAAAATGCATGCGAGTATAAACCCATTAAGAAGACGTACGGGTTGGCTTCCTGCTCGTGAGGAGTCCACTTGACAGGCGCACCTGACTTTCGAGAGGGGGACGGGGCCAATGTTTGCATATGTCAGCCCCACCTTGCATAAATAATTAATTTAAAGCATCCTTTTAGGCGCCTTCCCGTAAAACTGTAGACAAAACTGCTTAAATATGCATAATTACCTGAAGCGTCCGACTCGAGTTGTGCCAAGATCCCGGAGTCAAGTCGGTTCTGGAGTCAGGAGTTGAGCCATTCATTGCGGAAGTGCCTGAGTTGTGTTCCTGGAAAGGAGAGGGTGGGTAGGAAATTAGTTGTAGGCTGGGTATATTCATGAGCAGAATTTACACAATTGTTGCATACTTTCGGGCCATTTGCAAATGTTAAATTAATTGTGCCCCAGCCCCTGTGTTATTTCGAGTGGCAGTGCCTCAATAAAAATCTGTTTAATGTGCTGCTAATTCCCTTTAAGAACACAGGGACGGCACGCAACATTGTCATGAGCCCCAGCTCCCATTCGCATTCTCATTCGCATTCCCATAAATATAATTACAATAATAAAGGAAATATGTACAACAATTGTAAATACCTCGAGTCGACTGAAGTCAAGTCGACAACTCGACACGCACGGCCTCAAATTAATAAACTCCAATTGGTGCCATTCCAGGCCCATTCCGGATCCCCCTTTACGCCCTGCTCAGCCCTCAGCCTCTGGCTGTCCTGATTGCCGGGACTTCCTGATGAGCGTGTGAGCCCGTAAAGACTTCCTGCCTCCAGGCCCAAAGAGCCCCAGTGCGTGAGTGGGCCAAAAAGGGGAAATGGCAGGACGAGGACGGGCTCTCCTAAAAGGCGTGCCGAACTGTGACACTTGCCGCCATTTCAGCTGTTCCTTTTTTGTCACCTCCTCCTCCCAAATCTCTTAGTGCACAATTGCAATCTCCTACGCCAAGTCTGAGTTGGTATTATTGAAAAGAAAAGAGCACTCAAAATAAGGCTAAAATACCATTGCTGATCTATTTATATATTTTATATAACATACACCCATTTAACAAATAAGTTTAAATCATGCTTAAATATTTGCTACTATAAATTCTTTTCCATTATTATTTGAACCTTAAATTAATGATTTGCAAATATAAAAAATCATTTTATTTTTGACTGACTAAATAAATACATTTCACACTTATTCTCATAATTATTTTAGCATTAACACGACCTTTTTCTTTGAGTGAACAAAACAGAGTCCAAGTGGGTAAGCCGCCCGCACTCTTTATGGCGGTAATATCGTGATTAAATTGGCCACACGCCACACTGTCATCAAATAAAATGTAGTTAAGAGGTTAAGTCCACTTGACAGCAGTTCGCTTGGCTTTGGCCGCCCCCTTTTTCGGGGCGGGGTTGGGGCATACCATTTCACTGGACAATGGCAGAGTCAGTGGGAAATTTATGATTAAAGCAAAGCCAAGCCGAAAATCTGAGAGTTGGCCAAAGGTAAACCTCTCTGGCCTCTGGTTATATGCTAAAGAGATCAGTGCCTGAGAACAGTGGGGCAACAATGGACGACGTTTACCGCAGGCCAGAGTGCCACACTTAAGTGAATTACAAAGGCAGTGTGGTGGAGGTGGAGGAGGAGAAGGAGGTGGGGGAAAGGGGGTGGAGCAGTAGAGCAGTCAACGCGTTGACAGCCACAACAAGCGGCTTAATCGCATTAGTGAGGCAAAGGCAGCAGGAGGAGATGAGGGAGCAGCAGGGCACAAGGACCCGGGCAAGTGCGAACTGTGAAAACTGATTGTGTGGCGCCTCCAGCTGGGTAAGACACCCCTCTCCAACCCACTGCCACTATGCCCATGCCCATGCCGACTACCAGTGCGGCATTGTGAGCGTCACTATTTATACAAAAAGGGAAAAGCCAGCTGGAAAACGAAGGGCTACAGTTACCAGGAGCAGGAGCAGGAACAGGAGCAGGAGCAGGATCTGGTGGAGGAACAGGAGTTGGCCTGGGCCAATTGTCGGGACACAAAAGTTCACAGGCGGCGCAGGGCAGGAAATAAAAAATTCGTATTTATATTACACAAAAATGTTTTTTCCCAGGAGTCCGGAGCACTCGGCTCTCGGTCTCACCCCAAAAAAAGCAATTAATCTACGACACAAGGCAAGGACATGGGAGGCGAATGGCAAAAGGACGAGGCCTAGTCGCTGGGCCAGAAGGGCAAAGGCAAAAAGTGCTTATTCCTGCTTCCTGCCAGCAAATCCAATAACTTATCTTGATTTTATGGTTATTTCAACAAAGGCCGGAAGTTGTAGGTGCAGCAAGGACAAGGGGGTAAGGACGAAGAACTAAGGACGCAGGACGAGGGCGAGGCCGACGAGGACGAGGATGAACAATTGGCGAAAAGTTCTGTGGCGTCCAGTTTTGCATTTTGCACTTGACATGTCATTGTGTGCCAAAGCGAAAGGGATAGGGCAAGGATATTCGCCATGCGAACAGTCGAAAAAGGACTCTGCCCCTGACTGTCTGCCATCTTGTTTATGCGACCGTGTGCAACTGCAATTGACATATGGCTTCTTTTCATTTCGACTCTCTGAGTTGTAAATTTTAAATGAATTATTTTATTAGAAGTGACCCCCCCGCACAACAACTGTCCAAATTCTCACAGCAGGTGATGGGTGATTATTGACTTTACACCCCCTTCTATACTTATATATGGCCGACACATCCACAAGATTAATTGTGCGAACCGAGGTGCGTGTCCTGCTGCCTTTGACATTTATGAGCCGCATAAATCTTGGGCTCGGGACAGAATATTCAAATGCAACATAAGTCGCCTGCCACTAATTGATTGGACAATCCAGTGGCACTTAAGAGGTCGGTCTGCAGAGAAAAGCTGTCCCAGATTAGTCGGGGATTAGCTTGCGGACGAGTCAACAAGTCCCGCGGGGCCCACAGCCTTTTCAATTAATATTTAAATTCCCCGCACTCCCTGGCCCAAGTTAATAATCAAATTATTTTTTATGCAGCCCGCCAAGTACAGCGTCAATTACAAGTTGAGATTGGGGATGGCCAAAAAATGTGGAATCCAAAGGAGAAGCAGCTGCCAGCAGCAGGAAAACCCCGAGCAGATAGGAAGCCGCCCGATAAAGCTTTGTTGGAAAGCAAGTTTCGGGGGATAGGGGATGATGATAATAAGCGGAAACTTTTTTTCTCCAGCAACCATTACATATTCATTAAATTGAAACCCGGAGTAAACTGGCAAGAGAGTGTTGAGAGCTGAGCTCAGGGCGCAGCCATTTCATCTAATTGGTAATGGGACAAATACCCCACACAACCGCGCAACCCCTCAACCCTGCCCGCAAATGGTAAATGACTTTTGTATTTGCGTGGCAAATAATTGAAACAAGCTCAAAACTCGTTTCGCCAGCTAGAAAACTGAAGCAACCGAATGACGCAATTTGGACTCTGAGGTCTCCCATCTTCGAACTTTGTGAAATCATGGCGAAAATATGCTCTAGGAGCAGAGCATGATGTCATTCGCTGCTCACAAAATTAGCAGATTTGCACATTTGCACAATGCATGGTGGAAGTGCATAAATTTTCAGCGGGCCACCGCTAATGGCCAATATTTTCTAATTAAATGCAATTAATGGTCTTTCGTGGTTCTTTAGCGACATAATAAAAATCCAATAAACAACAAACATGGCTTTAAGCGTGCGAATAACCGCGAATATGTTGCAGAGTGCGGGACCCGCACAAATAAATCATGCGCCATGTTGTCACAGATGTTTTGCCAGCGATTATTTTTTTTAGTTTGAGGCTGCTCTTTAAACGGGAAGGAAAACGAAACGAATGTTGATTTGAAGTTATGACCCGGCAATTACGTAAATATTTTGAAAATATCAAAAACCAATTGCAAAAAGTCAATTTAATGTCATTCATACGCAAACACAGCCGCAGGATATGGGATAAAAATAAATATAAATATAAATAGCGTACGACAATAATTGTCGCCGGGCGGCGAGTGATTTAAATGCATGATGACGAAATCGGAGAGGCTAATTTGTTAACCAAATAGTATGGAAAATCCATGCCACTGGCTTATTTATTTGTAAACAACTGGGTTGGCCAGCGTGTGTGTGTGATTGTGTGTGGCCAGCGGAAACTGATCACAAAATGGTCGCAATTAAACAATCAGCACAACAATTACAATTGTCGACACGACACGGGAGTAGGAAGTGGCCATCGCTGACAATGTTGTTAGTTGGCATTAATTTATTGTATTCTGCCTGCGTGGCAATTAACTTTTCAATAAACTGCCTGACAATGTGGAATGCGGATTTATGGCGCAAGTTTCGCTGAAAAATCATGGCCGACACAGTGTTCATCTTTATCTACTATACATACAGCTGAGGCTAAATGTTTGCTCGGAAACGGAAGGACCGGCTGCGCCACGTATGATTGATATGTTAATGCAGCCACATCACGTATACGCCGCGTGTGTACCACGTCATCTTCGTTTCTTTTTTGTGCCACCCGTCATCATTTGCATATAGACATAATATGCAAATATCTGCCGCAATCTCACGAAGTGTGTGCGGGATGAGCCAGAAAAGTATCTGGCAAGTTGTGAATTCGCTGCAGATGTTGACAAAATGTGTGTAAGCACAAATTTATGCATGTGCCACACATTGGATAAACATTTGGGAGCTCCTTTGAATTGGCTTATTAGTCAGACGTTGGCGGCAGCAGAGTCCTTTAACGAGACGAACTGCAGGTGAGTCCTGTGTTCTGGATTGCAGTGACATGCGGAATGCCGTTGACAATGTTTCTGCCTGGATTTCCCCACCCCCCCGCTTTTTGTCCAGGCGATTTGCGCTGATTTGTTGGCCCGGCAGAGTCCGTTGGCTCGGCTTTTCCGGCCCGGGTCTTTGGGTCAGAACACATGGACAAATAAAAAGCCGCCACACAAAAGCCACCAGCCACCAGCCAGCGATTTTGGGAGTGAGCTTTGCTTTCATGTCGGCCGGCATATGTCCTTTGTATTAGTCCTGCTGCCTTTTTTCCCATTTTCTGCTGGTCCTTTTTTTGAGGCTAAGCTGATTTGGGTTGGTACTGCTTTTTTGTCGCTACAAATGGGCGTATGATAGATATTTCTGTTCTGTTCTGTTCTGTGAGCGCCCCTTTGTTGGCAACAATTGATTGATTGATTGAACGTTTTGATAAGTGCCGTCAGTGGGTTAGTCCTTGCTCCCTTTGGCTGGCCTTCTTCCCAAAGGACTTTGGCAGATAAGCCCGGCTGCAGTGCTGACCCAATGGAGGCGGATCTAGTCGGCCAGACAGGACACTCGAAGAGAGCACCCTCGAAGCCAGTCGGAGCTCTCGAGAACTTCCGCCAAGACAAAGACCAACTGCAGCCTCCACTCGCACTCGAAACGGATTTCCTTGTTATGCACACCAGCCGAAGCTCCAGCCCAAATAACAATGTGGCATCCTGCCACACCAGGATATTCTTGGCACGGACTTCAATGTGGAGTCGCCTCGCAATTAGCACGCATCAATAGGCACGCTCCTGCACTCCAGCACAAAGCGACTCAAATGGCTAAGGCGAATGCTAATCAAGTGGAGAACAAAAGTCATCTACCTCAGGAAGCAACACTGCAGGAAAAAGTCAGCAATAGAAAAGCTCCTCTTATTTATGTATTAAAAAAATCTTTTGGATGTGATAGAAAAGGTTCGCGAGTTTAATTCTTGGGAGTTTAATAATTCAAAAGTTTTTTGAATATTAAATATAAAGTTCGGAGCACTTAAACAATGCATCAAAGTTATTAGAACCATTTTTTCTTGTCAATGTGATGTCAAAGACATATTATATATATTAGGGGTGCCACAGAAATCACCAGGGTTTCATAAAAAAAATAATATAGTCTACTCCGCAGACTTCAAGATTTTTAATATATTGTGACATACTTTTACACGCCAATTTTTCTAGTTTCGAAAGCCTTGTTATTTCTCTTGCATCTTCAATTATTTTTATTTTATTGTGTTTTATAAGTTATACAAATTTCATTTTGATTTTAGTATTTTTATTTTCTCTAAGTGTCCCACCGCCTGCCCACCCCTCTTTCACACATGCCAAGTGCCATAGATCATAGTCAGTTCCAGCTGAGTAGCGAAAAAAAAGAAATTGAGTATACGCCACTACAAACGGTGGCGGCCCTACAAACGAGAATGTTTCTGAGTGTGTGCTTGTGGCAGAACACCGCAGGTGGCACAGCAGGTCGGTGGTTTTTGGGCCGAAACTTTCGCCACAATTAATGTGAATGGTGAATATGTTTAATTGTCGACAGGCATGCCAAAACCAAAAGGAACAAGAACGTGGCAAAAAAAAAAACAAGAGGAATGCAAATTTCCTTGAAACAAGATTAAAGTTTTTCGCCTCCCTGAGGACAAAAGTGCCTTTCAGAGCACGGCAAATTGCTAGCTGGCCCAACTTTGCCTTCTTTTTCGCTGTCAGCTGCAGCCTTTTCACGCTCAGAAGCGTGTAAATTAAACAGGGGACTGGGGCGAGTGCTGAAATGCCCGAATAATTACGACGGTCAATTTAAGGGCCACAGTGGCTTAAAGGGTTAACGTTAAGTCCTGGAGCCGGAGTTAGGTTTAATTTACAATCAATTATGGCGGATACCACTTGCATTGTTAACCTGTCCGACACATTTAAATGCAATTTAATGCAATTTATGGCCCGCCACCGACTCCCAATACAGAGTTTCCCAATAGCAGCAGCAGCATGCTTTATTATTATGCACGAGCATATGCAGCCGCACGGCGAACAACAACGACTCTTATTAAAAGCGGAAACAATGCGCACTTCCGCTTCAATTGTGCGTGTGGCTCACAGGACTCTACTTCTGCCTTCTCGAGCACGCAATGCGAATGTGGGCGTGGCCATGGCCCTCTGCCTTATTATTCATGCCACCGCTGAAGCAGCAGCTCCTCCTGTGTTGCTGCGGCTGATAAAACTTAACAATTTATAGCGCCCAGAAGGGGGCGTGGCCATTCGCCGTACAAAACACTTGAATGCACTCAAATAACGAGGCCCATAAATAAACAAGCGTTCAATTAATAGGGTCAGTCCTCATTGCGTATACGCCACGTATGCTCGGGCAGAGGGTTAACGTACCACAAAGAAAGAAGTTTAGTGCCAACTTTTTGCCAGCTAAGCGGAAACTTAATATGCCAAGAAACTCAGCCACTTACCTCGACTTTGCCTTTGCCTTTGCCATCTCCATCTCCATCTCCATTTCCATTACCATCCATCCGTCTGCATTAAGATTTCCATCTTTGCCAAGCCAACAGACCCCAAAAGACATCTCTGCAAAAGAGGAGCAGAACAAACACAAAAAATATTAGAGTAAGCTCTTTTCACTCTGCTCCGGCAGAAATCAACATAAAATTCACATTTGTCACCCCAAGAAGTTTTAAAGCAGCCATACCAGATATATCAATCTGCAGTCACACGAGGCGACTGCCACGCCCACTTGTAAGACAAAGTCAAATGGGTGTAGCTTTTTCCGCATTTTGTGTTGTTATGTGTTGTGTGTGATTTATTTTAAATTGCGTTTAGTTTTGCCCTCGGTGGGGTCACAAGTGACTGCTGGATGTCCCTCTAAGCTTATTTGGCCGTTTTTAATGTCGTTTTAAAGACAGCCAACTGACAGCAATCCGAATCGAAACGAAACGAATCGAATCGAATTGAAAGAGGCAGGGGCTGAGGCTGTGGGTCACAAAATATGCTGTCATCACGATTATCCTTAACGTCGTATGGCTGCCAATGCCAATGCCAGTTGTTTCCTTTTCCGTTGTTGCCCTGACCAAAACACACACACATGTGATTCCATACCGGATGTGTAAGAATTTGTAAAACGACAGAGGACACAGCACACAGGACTAAGGACGAAGGACGAAGGACGCTGGACCTGTTTGAAAAACGCACAGAGAACTCACTCTTCGATAAAAGTCAAAAAAGCAGAAGGCAAAAGGCAGCAGGACACAATCATCTCGGCTGGGAAAGTGCGTTAGCTGCCGAGTAAAAAAGGGTGTCCTTCGTTCGCCTGACTAGTCAGCATGGCAAAAATATGAAAAAAATTGGGGGAAACGATAGAGAGTCTCTTTGTTGTCTGCTAATTTCGTTTCGACATTTCTGTTTTTTTTTTTTTTGCCTCCTGCAGATGTCTCGAACTCTTCTGTTTTTCCTTGGTTTGCATAATTTTTCTTTATTTTTTCGTCGACTGCAAATTGAAATTTAAAATTTATGCAAATTTGTCTCTGTCGGTGCCTGTCAAGGAAAAAAGGGTTTCTTTTTGGGGGGTAAACTTCAATTTGATTTCATTTTTGATGGTGTTGGTAATTGTGCCATAACGAAAACCAGCAACAAAAAAAGAGAAACGGGGGAAAACACAATGGGAAAACTCTGGCAAATTAATCGAAATTAAGTCCGAACATTTTTATGGCATACTTGAGAGCGACGCCACGCCCGAAGGGGGATATGGGAAAAGCTGAAAAGCGGAGAAAAAGCGAGTAGGCCGGGGACTTTATCTAAAATCTCCTGGCATGCCAACGCCATTACAGACTGAGTTTCGGCTCGCTTAATCACTGTCCAGCACGCAGTCTCCCTTTGCTTTTTCCCCGAATTTCCCTTCACTTTTCCACACACATATGAGCTTGTTGGGCACATCGTCACCGCCAGCGCCGCGTGCAATTAATTAAAAACAAACAAATTTGAAAATGCACGACAGGCTCAGCGGGAAAAGCGGGGCAGGCAGGGCGGAGTTTTTCTCTCTCGAGAGAAAATAGCGCAGATTCGGCAGAGGAAGCCAAACTGTCAATGAACAATGCCAGCCAGCCAGCAGGACGGTGGACACTGGACAGTCGCCTGGCAGGCGACAAAGTTGCTGCCCTAAGCGTTTTTTAATGCACAGCGCTGATTTCCTGCAGCTGCCCCCTGCCTTCTTCTCCACTCTACCCATTCTCCTCTCTGGGGCCCTTTGGTAATTTCGTTTTATTATTTTGCAGTTTTCTGTTGCCAGCTCTGCTCCACTTTGTAAATATTAAATTATGAGAGAAGAACAGGCACAAAAAAAAAATCCAGAAACGAATCAACGAACTTCTGAAATTTCCCAAATGGAAACAGGAACACGAACACGAACACGGACACGAAAACGAGCCCGGGCACAAAAACAGATAACAGTTACGCTTACGGCCGTAATAACTGCAGTCTGCCGTACGGAGTGCCACACTCCGGTCTCCAACTTCTGCAGTCGGCAGTTATGACACCAGGTGAGTGCCCATCCCATCTTGTCCCCGCTCATCCCATCCCTTCCACTTTTACTGGCTTCAAGGGGAGTTACTTTTAAGGGTATTACTAAGAAGTTTACCGGCTTCGGCACTGGATAAAGTATATAAATTAAAGAAAAAAGATAAAGTGATAAAAATGATTTACCCTTGCTAGTAAATTGTTATAAAACTATTTAATCCTTTATAACTACAATTTAAAGTAGCAAACTCAACAATTTGACCAAGAAAATCAACTTAATTAAAACTATTACTATTGGTACTATTTATATTTAAAAATATTTTAACACTTGAAAACAAAGTTGTTAATGAAATTAATATTTTAATATATTTTAAGTTCTTTAATAAATTACAATTTTAAAATTTTTTTTACAAATTGAAAAATTGGTTGAGTTAGTTCAAGTTTGTTCTTTATTCATTATCTAAAATATGTCTTAAGTCTTGCAGTATAAAATTGTTTTTGCTGACATCTCATATCTTTATCCTTCTTTAAGCACTCTAATACTTTTTTATTTGGTACCAGTGCTATCACCCTCAAGTTGAAATACCTAAACCAGAACTTAATGTGCCTAGAGTACGCAAAAGATTGGATTTACTTTATTAAATCTCAGCTGTCCCCGCCTCATTCTCTGCATTCTGTTTGTTTTCTGGCTTCACGGCCGCTTAGGCACCGAAAATCCTCATCGCAACGTTGCGTAAACGTAATGTGTAAGCCTTCCAGCTGCTCCAGCAACAATTACATGACGCCTTGCCAGCCCTGCAGCCAGCGCCATGTGCAGCAAATGGCCTTAGTGCCTGGGAATGGGCTTGAATTCATACATGGATATGCCAATGATGGTCATCGTGCTAACTGCTTTAAGTGCAGACAGAGAAGGCGAGAGGAAAAGCCCAAAACGAGAGCGATAGAGAGGACGGGCACTTCAGTGAAAAATTGAAATTGAAAAAACGACAAAAGTTTGCGGCCGCATCCGGAGCAGAGTCCTCCTGCTTCCTGCCTTCCGCTCTAGAACGTTCAGCCCATCCAACCCATCCAACCCATCCAACCCATCCCGTCATCATTCGCATTCGTGTCCTGTGTGCTGTGCCCTGTGTGCTGTGCCTGCTGCTGTCGTTGTCGTTTGTCGCATGCAATAAGTGCTAGTTGAGTGGCGGCACTTGAAACCAGAGCCACACATTCAATTGGCCCGTCGCTGGAACCTCTGAAACCCTTTCCCTGGCCTGGTTTCAATCCTGCCCGGCCAACTGCTCCACCAACTGCATGTGTTTTCCAGCGGCGCTTCGGATTTCACTTTTGGCCCTGGGTGTCGTTGCTGGCGACCTGACGCCGCCATTTCCGCCGACCAGCACGGAAGTGGCAGCCATGTGCCCTCCTCCTCTTGGCGATCCTGCGGATTTGCTGCCGCGGCCATTGCATACGAAATGTGTTGCATACATTTGCGGGCAGTGGCAGTGGCAGTGGCAGCGGCAGCGGGTCGAGAAAAAAACCAAAAATACACAGTCCAAAAAAAAGCCGCTGCAATCAAAATGGAAATAAACGAGAGAAGGGCAGAATGAAAATTCCCATAATAATGGTCCTAGTGAAGGAGTGCAGGACGACTCTGGCTGGACATCAGGCGCTTAGACCCCTTCGCTTTTCTTTATTTCTTTCTTTCTTTTCAGTTTTTCAGGTTTTTTGCCAAGCGGCCAAAGCCACCGCTTTCTATGCATACAAAAAGGTAGAACATGTGTGCGAGTGAGAGGAGCCGAAAAGCTGGTAATGTCCTTCAGCAGTGGCAGCCATTTGCCAGTTTGCGGTTTCCGTTTCGCGTCCTTTCGTCGTGCAATTTTAGTTTTAGTTGAGTTTTTAGTGGCGTCCACAACTCGGCCATTTAAGCACATTTGTCGTCTCATTGTCCTGCCGACCACCACCACCATTGCCCTTCCCACCGACCACCGCTGACAGTGTGCTAATTAGAAGTCCTTGTTGCTTGTGGCCACAACAAAACAGACGTCGTCCACAGTCGGCAGGAGCAGGACACCACGGCAGGACATCTCAGAATGGCACATAAAACCGTAGGGAGGGAAAACAATGAAAACTACTTTTCAGAGCAGGCCAAAGTCAGAGCAGGTCTTCGTTTTTGGCCATAAACTGCATGAATGTCCTGGCCACTTGAATGTCCTGGCACGTTTTGCGTTGCCTGCACATTTTTATTGTCCGACTCCTTGCGATGTGTGACTTTAATTTTGAGCTGTGAGCTAAGATCCCCCCTGCCCCCTTTTCAAACCCACAAAACCGCAGGAGAGAAGTGCTCAGCCAAAAATATAAATAATTGCTTTGCTTGCTCAACTGTGAGGGAATGTGGCCAGGATATGGGCATACTGGTTGGAGGATGCTGGTTGGTTGGCATTGTCTTCCAGTGCAACGCACATTAGTTCTCGTCTCAGTCGACAAGCAATCCCCCTTAACCATACACCAGATATATATATATATATATACGTATATATAACCACTCTGAGTTTAAGGGGGCTTAGGGTCTCGGACCACATGACTTCATTTTTCCCCGGGCTGGAGAGCATTTATAAAATAAAATTTGTTTATTATGAAAATGCAGCGATGCGAGATAAGCAAGTGCCAGTTGCGAGCCACAACAAAGTTGGCCACTTGACTGGCCAGCTATACAGCTAGCCAGCTTTCCTCCCAACTTTTCCCTACCATTTTTCCCTTTCCTTATCCTTGTTAATTGCTGCGGTTTCCGACTGCTTCGCTTGCCAACAAAAATAAATGAATATTTTTGCGCCAGCTTAGACATGAGTGCAAAATAAATTGTTTGGCATCTTCTGCTGTCTGAATTACGCTGCACTTGTATCTGCAACTTGTATCTTTGTTGGCAAATCATGTGCCAGCGAGACTTGGCTGAGTAATTGCCAGAGCATAAATAAGCCAGCCACCCCCTTTTGATGTGGCCCAATGAAGTTTTATGGCCGGAAACGGAAATGCGAGCTTAACCTGTGGCAGGACTAACTAGCTTGAATGGCCACTCA